GGGGGCTCAACGGTATATGTATAGTACAGACGACGACTCACGAATATAGAGCATTCGTTTGAAAGGATGAAGAATCGACTTGAAATTTATTTATTTGTTTGTTTGTTTGATTCACGAATCGGAAACACTTCGAAGTACAAGTCAGTACAAAGGCGAGCAATCTGTTCGCCGATCTCTGTAACGAGTAATCGCATAACAGTTTCTCAGATTCAACGTCGTATTTTCTTTTGACCCGAGTGTAAGATAGTTTGGGAACGTAGAGGTTAACTGCAACGGTTAGCTAAACGGCACGGCGGATGATTCGGAACCCGTCGATGAGACCCGTCTGTTATTTCGCGTAACGATCGGGTCAGCATTTCTATCATTAGAGACGCGCGCGCGCGCGCGCGCTGCGAGTGAAGCGAATTCAACGTGTATTCCAACTGCGGTACCGTTACCGGCCCGAACACGGATACTCGTTTCGTGGCTCGCTCGAGCGGAAAAGAATTCGCGGCCAATCCGATCGCCATTCACACGCCTCGCACGACTCTCGTCGAATCCCAGCGAATCCGACCTGCGATCATCTGTACGGATTTAATTGCAAACGGAGCCGTTTCATCGTCGAGACACCGTGACGCCTGGTTTTGATGATTGAAAGGTCTCGTCGACGTACACACGATACCGTGAAAATAATGACGAAAACGACGACGGGTTTAACAAAGACACCGTGAACAACGGACACTCTCGGTATCTACATACGTGTGTATCACATTGTTCTACTCATTCAGTTTTGCCAACGGTTTGCCACAGTTCATCGATATTTATGCCATGAAAAGAGCGAGGAAACCAGGCGAAACAAGCGGTTATCACGCGCCTAATTCTTCGGTTCGCAGCGACGGCGACTCGTAATTTCCGCGGGGGTCGGAGGTCGACCGATTGCTGCCAGCAAACGCCGTTTATCGGCGAGCGGTGATTTTTTGTTCCAAAATCGAACGGCAGAAACCGTGGCGTTTAGATAAATCGAGGACGCTGTCGCGAAAATATATTATGCAGTTCCGAACAGTCGAAGCCGTTTCGTCACGGTCCATCGGAAGAATCGTGGGGGGAGAAAAAAAATACCTCCGATAACGTTATCTGTCGCTCGTCGTGTATCAAAGTCCGCGACCAAGGAATTTTTTCGCGTTAATGCCCGATAGGCTTCGATCAATTTGAGACGGTACGCTCATCTTTCGATTTACTGCGGATATTCTGCGATCTTTTGTTCGTGTTCGAGCGCTCGATTATCACGAGTATTGTTTCAAGTACGTTCGACATCTTATGGGAGATCTCAGATTTTACGAGATCCGTATTGAATCGTACTTTGCTCCTCGTTCTTCGAGCGCGGATCGTTCCCGAATAAGAATCGTCTGACCGATCTGTTGACCGACCCGACGAGAAGAATCGACGCTTTATAAACGGCAGATAGAAACGGGAAGAGTCTCGTAGTAAAAAGACTCAAGTCGTAAATACATGATACGACGGTAAGAAACTGACGGTTGTAAATATACGAAGCCTTCAGGTTCGAAAGAGGGTTTAACGAGACGTAGCTAGCCCGAGGGATGGGTTAATCGATTGAGAAACGCACGATCCGGATAAAATCGAAAGCAGCCCACAAAGGGAGCCAGACACGGGTTACAAAGCGGCGACGCGGTTCCCGCGAGAAGCGCGCGGCTCCAGAGAAACTCTTCGGACATGGATTGATGATGCTGACGCGTCGCTTCAACGGGGAATGGTCAGCGATCGGGGTCGGGGGGCGGTTCAGGAAAGCGAAATAGACGAATAAAAAAACGAACGTGAGTCCATCGTGTTCCTCGTTTGACGCGCGTCTATGTTTTAAGCCCCGTATCCACTCGTGACACGTTCCCGTATCGACGCAGCCGAGACCAATCGTCGTTCTTCATATTGCGGAGTTCTATGAAAAATTGAGTATTGACTGCAAACACAAATCTTACACACTTACCAATGTTTCTTATCGTTCGAACGTTGAAATGTCGGCGGCACTCAGGTTTTTGTGTCCCGCATAGTTTTGTACGTCACGTCTGTATTTAATTTCTCTGTAAACGCATAAAGATTACGGTTCGCGGGAAATTGTCAAACTGAGGCTTCGTGTTTGAGCTGTGCTCGTCTAGAAAACCCGGAAAGACGTGGACTCATTACTCGTTTTGAATTTTCCCCGTCACCCTCAGGGGAAACTAACACGTGTCCGAGTTGGCTCAGTTTCCGTGGTACTAGCTGTATTAAACGGATCAACGAGGTCTTATTCTGCATGAAACTCGACGATCTGACAATTAATTGTCGATAGATAATTAGTTCCTCGTTGAAGGTGAAAGAGTCGAACTGTCGTCGTGAAGGATAGACAACGTGTACGATCGGAACGAGATCGGATTGAGTACGTAGGTTCGAATCGCGCGAAATTTCTAAGCTGTACGTCAAGGCCGATAATGAAATTCCTTTCCGCGCTCGCGCGATCGTCTTAATCAACGCGCCGTCGCTGCGCACGAAAAAAAATTAGCATTTTAAATCACGCGCACCGCGGGTGCCCCTACTCTCCTTTTTCTTTTCCGCCCCCACCTCTCGCACCGCGATCCCTACCCCTGTCGAGCCGTTCGCCTGTTCTTCTCGGTCTCTCCTCGGTTTCCAAACCGACGACGCCGCGACGTCATCCTCATGATTCGTTTATTATCGAACACGCACAGAAGATTGATCGTCGCTGCTCGTTTCTCGATGTTTCTAATTATTTTGAACAACGCGCCGTCACCGAGACGCGTACTCATTCGAGAGTCGCGTATCCGCGTGTCGTTGCAACAATTATGTACGAGCAGAAAAATGAGCATATTGAATGCAGATCGTCGAGAACGGTTGCTTTAGAATTAGTTCACAATTATGGGCGTAGAACGTTCCATTTTTCGATTTCCGAGATCCGGCAAGGCGGTGTCGTGTTTCCTTTCTGTTCGCAATCATCTACGACGTTTCGTACTGTTTATACGTTCGAAGAAGACCTGTAACGACCCCGATCCACTCAGGGACCAGAGGGGAACGCGAGTGGTGGACGTTCGTCCAGAATTTCTCCGGCAACCTACACGAGTGCGAGGTCATTGGGTCGCGGATGCGTGCAAACGATTTCTGAATGCATTTCTCACCGTTCCCGAAACGGGAATGCGATTCATCAAGATCGAACCGTCGCTGCTGCAGTTTAGAAGACGATGTATGAGAGAAGTAGATCCTCTTCCGAGTTTCATCTCGCGCGGATGAGAGGGGGCACCACCGATAACGGTACACTCGCGCGCCGTTCTCGCTAAATCCTCGTTTTGTATATCTGACGCGTGCGAAGCAACACGTGTACGACACGGTCCGTTTTTCTTCCTTCCTATGATTCGAGAGGCGTGCGCGCTTCTCGTGCCGAACTAACTCGTCAAATTAAAAATTAATTATGATTCTTTTATCAAGTTCGAATAGAGAGAGAGAGAGAGAGAGAGAGAGAGAGAGAGAGAGAGAGAGTCGAGTTTTCTCCGTAGGTCTCGTCTTCTTCGTGTCACTTTTCATATCTGCAATTCCGGCAATAATGTACGAAATGCAGGCATTGCGCGGAACGTGGCCAGAAAATCCTGCTCGAATCGATGATACTTAAACATATGCACTGTCGTGTATACGTGTTTATTTTAGAAGCGCCGAGACGAGCGAGGAGACCCGTAGGAAACAATTAGCTCGACCACTCGTTTATCGCGGTAGAATTTCCGCGAGATCGAAACGGTCCGTCCTACGTCCGGGGTTGATCGAGCGGAAGATCCATTAGCGTTTGCAAGATAATTACTCCAAATAGAGATTACACAGGCCCCGACGGTACTACTAATTCTCCGCGTCCAGCCTCCGACGATAAATAAACACCTACGTGAAACCCCCGGGGCACGACCAAACGGCCTAATGATGGGAAGAGAGCTCTCCTCAGCTTCTTACCCCACCTCTCCCTACGCTTGCTTCTCTCTCTCTCTCTCTCTCTCTCTTCCCCCCCTCGCCCTTACGTCCTTCTGTGTTCCCTCTCGAACAGGTGTTGCCAGCTCGGAGATTCGATTCTCTATGGAAAGTTACATTATTTCACAGAAATAAAATTATATTCGTGACCTGCGCATTTTTATTCCCTTTCATATTTGTGCCAATTTCTCGAATCGAAATTCATTCCGTCCTTCACCGAGGAACGACGGTCTGTCGACGAATTGTTTCTTCTTCGACTGAAACGATCGCCGTCGATTTCTTCTGAAATAAAAGTTCGAATCGCGTCGAGAGAGAATAAGAGAGAGCTAGGTCGACGAGGACAGGAGAAAGGAGCGGAGCGTATCGCGTGGCCGATGCAGCATCGCGTGGAGTGATTTTTACGGCGTTAATAAGCGGGTGCCAGGTCCCCTCGGGCTACGTGGTACCGGTGTGGAAGGTGGCGAGGCGAAAGAGTAGGCGGCCGGTGAGAAGTGCCGCGAGTCGATGCTATTAAGATTTCCGTATCGTCTCTCTTTCTCTCTCTCTCTCTCTCTCTCTCTCTCTCTCTCTCTCTCGTCCCGTTTACGCCGGACGACACACGGAGAGGTCACGCTCGCCTAACGTGCATCTCTGTCTCTCTCACCAGCAGTCCTTGTTCTCTTCCGTCTGCGATCCTGCCCGCGGTGCTCCGCGACGCGCGGTCTTCGTACCTTTCGTAACTCTCTTTCGTTTGATCCTACTGCAAACTGTTCCCGTCTCGTCTCTCACTCGCTACGGATTAGGAAGGTGCACACGATCATAGCATCGAGACACTCGTCGGTTCTAATGAAACGAACGAGCGCCTGAGTGCAAACTGTTTTTCTCTCTGGTGAAACGGTGTTGAAGGCTGGAACTACTAGAGCGGTGACGACGCGGTTTATTCGGTTGTTCGCGAGTAATCGGAAAGCAAGCTTAATCGCGACAAAGAGAGCGAGTAGGAAGATTGAAGAAAAGGGATGATCGATTGATGGTAGTCCGTTTGTCTGTTGCAGCGGTGCAAAGGGGCCGGGTGCCGCCGTCGCAGCCGTCGCTGCCGGGCCTCCCGGGCCAGTTCGCCCTGACGAACGGCGACGCGGTCGCGTGCGCCGGCCTCAACGGCCACTCGTACCTCTCCTCGTACATAAGCCTGCTCCTGAGGGCGGAACCGTACCCGACCTCGCGGTACGGCCAGTGTATGCAACCGAACAACATCATGGGAATCGACAACATCTGCGAGCTGGCGGCCAGGCTGCTGTTCTCGGCGGTCGAATGGGCCAGGAACATACCGTTCTTCCCGGACCTTCAGGTGACGGACCAGGTAGCCCTGCTGAGGCTAGTTTGGAGCGAGCTGTTCGTGCTGAACGCGAGCCAGTGCTCGATGCCCCTCCACGTGGCGCCGTTACTGGCCGCGGCGGGACTCCACGCGTCGCCGATGGCCGCGGATCGCGTCGTCGCCTTCATGGACCACATCAGGATCTTCCAGGAACAGGTGGAGAAGCTGAAAGCTCTGCACGTCGACTCCGCGGAGTACAGCTGCCTCAAAGCCATCGTCCTCTTCACCACCGGTGAGTCGTACCCCCCGCGTTGATCGTTTTTACGCGCTGTCGCCGCGGAGACGAAACATTGGGCGCGAACATCGACCGCGTCGGTAGCTCTCCGACGATCGGTGATCTCGCTCGAGATCATATTGAGCACACGAAACGATATGGTTTTCACGACGAGAGACCCTGATTTAATTTTAATTGAAAATTAGAAGATACCAATGGTCGGTGTTGAGAGAACGAGCCAATATGAGTGTACGTGGCCTGTGAACGCGTGCCGAGCGTTGCTCACCGAGACATTATCTATTATTATCAGTTATTAACATTCAGCGAGTGCAAAGTCCCCGTGCAAAAGAATCGCGCAAGATTTATGAGCCGTCAGCAGCTACGGTATTACGACTGTACAAACTCGCGCTTTTAAACGTAACGTATGCAGATTCGTTAGCAGAAACAGCCGCGGCTGCCAACGCGTACCATTTTAGAGTTTAGAACGCGAACGCGTACCGCGGATAGTCTGAACGCGTTCGCTTCAAAAATTGAAAAAATGCCTACACGCTGTTCATGAGTCACTGGCCGATCGATTAACACCGCAGACGAACGAGATACGTGTCCATAAACTATTGTCCAATCGACGTATTAGGTGTAGAAATAAATTCTGGTCGGACTTGTTGTGAATAGAAGTTCGAACCAGTTTCGCGCGCATTCCGTGGCTTCGCTCATAGTGTCTGGGGAAGTAAAATTGCGAACGGGTGAAGAGGGGGACGGTTTGAACGGGCATCGTTGACAAGACTTGGAGACGTCGTCGAATTTTGCTGAAATCGGACAGGCCGTCCGTGGCGGTTGGTACGGACGCTATCGCGAGGCAACGCGTGTACCGTGACAACTCGCGCGCTCGTCGATCCTCCCTGGCGAGCTTAGAGAAGCTTAGAAAGGGACACGATAGCGGCCGGTTCCGCCGGAAGAAGTCCACGGTCTCTTGACGCGCCGCCGCTCGTTCGCAGCTTCGTCTAATCGACGGTGAAACGAGATGTTATCGCTACCCCGCTGCTGTCACATCCCGTTTACAGAGACGAGGGCACGATGAATACGATGACCATACACCCTTTGGTCGTTCGGTCGTTCAAAATTCGCTGTCCGCCTCTCTATTGTGCTCCGTGATAAGTAGGTCGCGGACTTTTATGCAAAATTATTTTTACCATCGATTCGTAGAACAAAGCCTCTTTTATCCTTTGAAATTGACAACGCGCGTATTCTGTAGAATTTTTTTTTTAGAAATGCACGAGACGCGATACCTGCTTTCAGAGGATCAATTCACTTTGTAGAAATGTTCCGTGATCGATACGCTGTACGAAATGTATCGTGTGTAAACTGTAAAGTCGGTGCAATACTTGTCAGTATGGTTGTTGGTTGCATACTTCATACANTAAAGCCGGGTATTCATCTGAGCACGAATGCGAACGAGGCAAGGCGAGGCCGAACGAGCATACATATGTGGACGTGTAACCGAGGCGCGGCAAACTGCATTCGGCTGTTCGCCGCACAGACTGAGGCATTCGGGACCCGAGCCGATCGGAGTCGGTACTTCAAAGAAAAATTTGGTTACGTATGGACGGCATTCGTGTACGTTCCACGTACCTTGCCTATCTCGCTGGATCATCGTTCACTGCGTTCGCTGTGGATCACTGTCTCGTTCGTTGCCTCGGCAGACTTCATTCGCGAAGAAAAATTTTACAAACGAGACAAAACGAGGCATTTGTTCGGACTCGCCTTGCCTCGTTCGCATTCGTGCTCAGATGAATACCCGGCTTTACGTGTGAACGCGCGTACGTACGAAACATCGTGGAACCGTTCAACGATCATTAACGATAATGTTGCGCGATATTTATCACGGGATGGTTATCACGATCCGACGAGTAGACGCGTCACCGCCACCCCGCGTTTAAACGCGTTAAACGGTCCGGTCGCCAAGGTTCCCGATAATTGTCTAGCCCTTTTTCCATTTCTCGAGGAAAATCACCCTGACCGTGAACGATCGTCAAACGAACGTGACAAAGTGTGTACGACGTGGTGCCCGTGATAGGAATCGAAGAATCGTCGACGTTCACTTCACGTACGATCTTAAACGACTGAATTCAGTGGAGCCTGGTGGCGTCTGATTTTACGTCTAATTTCGTCGCCTTCTCGCGTCTTACGCCGTTCTTGATTCAGTTCGATTTCATATAATTCTTTTTCACGTCTCGCGGTAGAGGGAGAAGCGGATTTTTATCGTTAACGTTAAATCTCTGTAAACGATACTTCTTGGTGAACTGCGCACGACGTCAAATCGAATATTTTCCATTTCACTAGTTGGATAAAACGTCGTCGTCGTTTCCAATACTGTTTAACGTTTGATATGCCTGCGGACACGGTGTGTATCCGTACGGGCAAAGGTAGTTTCTGTGTAAGAGGATCGATCGTCGAAGCCGGGAATCTCCGATATCTCTGACGGGCATCGAGTCGTGTTTCAGCATCGTCGAATCGCGGAAGCGAGAGCCGGAGAACGGTTCTAGAGAAACTCTCCATGGGCCACGCGTGATAGACGCTGATTAGACCGTAACGCGGCGAACGTCGTCGTCGTCGTCGTCGTCGTCTCGCGCATTCTATCGTCCCACTCACATCCCGATCTCACCTCGCTCCTGTGTTCTTCAGATTTATCGTTTTCATAAAACACCCATTCTCTTATTTTGTTCGTGGACCGAAATAGTACAGCGAAAGAGTATGCGATCCGTCTCCTTTGTATGAGGTTCGTCTATAGAATTTAGAATTGTCACGTTATATATATAGAATTGCGGTGACTCTTCATATCAATGTACGATGTTTTCAATGCAGTTCGTTTGGAATTGTTCGACGGAGACAATTTAAGATTGCTACCAGCGTGTACGCAGAATTGCAACTACTCGTTACCAACAACGTGTTGTTCCAAGCAAAAGTTGACGTTTGATACCGATCCTAAAAGAAGACTCGGAAATCTTGTTCGACGTTTCTCTTCTTCTCTCTCTCTATCCGACCGCCTCCGTGCTGGCTGCCTTTCGCTCTTCGAAGAAGAAACCGACGGGCCAGCGTCGATATTCTTTTCAACGAAAGTTTCTCGACCTACGAAGACTGCCACTGCGTGTCTGTCTCTGCACACGTCTGTCGGTGTGAACGAAGCTTTTCTCGCGGATTCTCGTTTCTCCGACCGACGACGTGACGTTTCGAGAGCGTCGATAAATTATCCGGGGTTAACAGGTGAGCGCGGAACGACGGCGGGCGATAATGACGGACAACGATAAACGCGTCAATAACGCGCCGTCCCGTACGACGCGGGGGTATCGGGGACACCAGAAGAGTAGAGTAGATGAACGTTATTCCCGCCGCTAGTGGATTTCCCTTCGATTTGGGTTACCTCTCTCCCACTCTCCCTCTGTCTCCCCTCTTTGATCCGGCAACGACCGACATTTCAACCGTCCTCCGGTGTCCATTTGCCTACCGATGCTACACTTACACCGCCGAGTGCTCGGGATTTTATACAACCTCTCGAACGAACGGTGTTTAAACGTTAGCGAGAGGAAAATGCAGATGTTTAATTAATTAATTTTAACGTCTGTTACAATTACTAATCTCTTATAGCTGCTAATGAGAAACGATCGTACGTGTTTAATTTTTGTTCGACCAACTTTTCCAACATTCCTTTCATTTAACGAGTAATAGACGGTACGAGGATAGGACGAGTCCAATGTCGTGCGAAAGAATGGAAACCGAAACGTGTTACGCACGAGTGTACGCCTCCCTCTATTAAGAATCAGTAATTTCCAGCCGGGATTCGATTTTTAGCCGTAGCGTTAAGGATTGTACATCGGTGAGACGAAATCCGGTTGCTCCCCGAACAGGAACGAATACATACGTATGTATGTATGTATAATAGGTTATATCGGTTCGTGGAGTCCAAGTCGGAGCGAGCCACGACTCCTGCTCTTACTTTCTCCTCGCGTCTCCGCGGTGTCCCCGTTATTGTCAGTCCGTTTCACGGTGCACTTTATCAGCCCTCTCGCAGTGTCCAACCGCGAGATACGTACATCCGTGCCGTCCGATGCTCGAGCGTCACTGTTTAACGATCAAAATTTGCGATTGGACAGCCAATGAAATGTCCGTCCGTTTTTAAAGATCGTTGGGAATTCTCAGATATTACGTGTAACAATTTTTAATTCTTCACGACGATTCTCACTTGGTTGTTTCGATCCACAAATTGAAGAGACGTTTTTGGAGGATGTAGCAGTGAAACGGCCCTTTGAAACGAAGAACGCATCGTTGCCGAAGGTGTAATTAATTATGTCGTTAATGAGCGATTCGCGGGGGCCGGTGGAAACGAAGAGCTCGTGGTAGCGAGTACGTGGGTCTTGAATACGGTTGCTCACCGGCGGGCAACCGCGAGGCAAAGGGAATTGCATCGCATGCCACATAATCGTGGGAGTGTTTCCCATCGAGATACACGTAGGTAACCGCCGCTCGCAGTAATGCCCTGCCGCATAAATATATCTGCATCTCCGCCGCTCTACGGGGTGACCGAGGATAACTCCAATTACTTGGATCACTTTCCTCTTTGTTCACTCGCCGGAGAGCCTGTCCGATTCTTCTTACTCGACGTTCATTTCGATCCCACTCGACGCAGCGAGTTAGCTAAAGCGTGTTTGTCAGGTGTCTTTACCAGGTGAAAAAAGACGTTCCGAGGAGACGTCGTGATACGTAAAAAGGATCTGCTTTTTAAATTTTGTCGGGCCGATCACCGAACAGAGCGTAGAGGGTATCGAAATTTCTTAGATACGTCTTAATTACATAATTGTTATCAGATACGTCTTACGACGTGTCGTCGATGCACGAGACAAAGTCGAATCAAATGTTGGAGAGAGACGAATGAAAAACGATGTTCGCGCGAGTCACAGGGTATACGCGAGGAGAAAGCCGAACCGTTTGCAACGACTGATCTAGCCAGCTAAACGTACTTTATG